AATTAATGAATGCGTCAATTTATTTTATTGATTTAATCAGGAATTACAGAACCGAATGCTGTGAAATCTTGGAGATATTTTAAAGTTATCATAAGCATGGTAAATTTTTTATCAAAATTTATTTGCTCATCCCCCCCTAAAAAAATTGATGACGTCACCCTAAAATTTTGCTGAATAAATCCTATCTAAAATATACAAAATATGATGAGTCTGTACTTGTGATTTATCATTCCATTCATATTTTTGGATTTGCATATACAGCGTGACTCAAAAAAATTAATGAATGCGTGAATTTATTTTATCGATTTAATCAGGAATTACAAAACCGAATGCTTTGAAATCTTGGAGATATTTTAAAGTTATTATAAGCATGATAAACTTTTGTTCAAAATGTATTTGTTCATCCCTCCTAAAAAAATTGATGACGTCACCCTTAAATTTTGCTGAATAAATCCTATCTAAAATGCAAAAAATATGATGAGTTTGTACTTGTGATTTATCATTCCATTCATATTTTTTAGATTTTCTTAAGAGGTGGCTCAAAAAAATTATTTTATTGATTAAATTAAAGGCAACACTTATTATTAGTATTACATTGGACCAACCCAATTTGGTAGACACAAAATTTTGTAAAGTAAAAACTCGGTTGAAACATAAGGGTAGCACGCTTATTTACATCGACTTTAACATTACAGACGTGCATTTGTTTTATGCGCTGACTAGGCTCCGCGAATGTGGAATAGACATGTTTATAATCAACCAATTGTGAATTCCACCGTCAAAAATTAAAATAAAACCCAATGTTTTAGGTAATAAGCGGAAGTCGAAGCAATAAAACCGATGGTCGTTTTGTTTACAGTTTCTCTGTTTGACTCTCACGTATGCTGTTACGCTTGTCATCTTAAATTAAGGATGCTTATACATACACGATTTTCAGTTCCCTCTCATATTACACGCCGGCGCCGTGTATGTGAATAAATTGTTTCGTTATTTTATTGATTATAACAAATCAATATTCAAAACGACCCAATCCATTTTCCCGAAAATTTGGGAATACAGTAATTTTATTCTTAGTATTACACTACATCTATCCCAACTGATATACGTGTCCTTGCAAAAATGTTGATGACGTCATCGCAATTTTTTTTAAATTCCCACTACAAAAATGTAATGAGAAAAAAAAAACACAATAGGCATGCAGTCGTCAAGTTTCCGACAGCGAGGGAAGTACTGTCTAAACTCTTTAGACCAATTTTTTGCTTTTGCACAAGTCGTATACAGTTTGGTAGCGGGTCGTGAAACATACACTGCTTTATTTGCAGTTTCACAAATCTCGGGTGGAATGCAATATTCTTCATCGTTGTAAAATCACTCATTTCTGATCAAGTTTGTAGAATTACACCACCACAAACGCACACGGTTTATGTGAATATTGTCGTCAAAACATTGGAGCACAGAAAATGATCAACAAAACACCTTAAACAACGCAAACATGGCATCAGACAATAAATAACTTGATGCGATCGATCAACTTAGTAAAATTTTATTATTTATTATTTTAAATATATTCCTCCGGTTGTAGGAAAAACATTGTTTATTACACGTGCCGAAAAAGCTTACGTGAATACGTGCAGATTTCCACATTCGGTTGCGCCTCATGCGGAAAACTCTGCACTTTTACATAATGATTCTTTTTCGACACGTCGTAATAAAAATAACCGTTATAATACATTGCCAGACAAAAAAAACCGGACACTTGAATATTTGTAACTTTACGCTAATGTTTAGTGTTGGAACTTTTTTTTCTTCGTTTCTGTTTCCACATGTTTTAGAATAAAGTTATGTTTTCTGTTAATGAATACATTAATGTCTTGCTTTTTGGAATATTGTTTACAAAAGTTCGAACGATTGCAGGTAATCATAAAAAATCACATGTTCGCGTTTTTTCTTTGGCATTTTTTTTGTCTATCAACTTCTGGTTCAAATCGCTGGACTTATGAAAATGTCAAATTGTTATTTCTCGGTGGCTACCTCTTATGATGTAGGCACTCGCTAAAAGAAATTTCCATAAATTTAAAACTTGAGGTGTTAGAGGTGGTAGAATATGGGGTATAAGTTTATAAAATACTAAAACCCAGTGTATACAATATTTTCAATGAGATTAAATTAATCACGCATTTAACAATGCGTTTAGCGACTTCTGATTGGCAGTGCCGAAACCAAAGAATATTTAGGTATAGGCGAACCTTGCGTTAGGCGCCCCGCCCCTACACATAAAAATGCAATTTTACAGAACAGTTTTATTTATATTTTTTAATAAGTATGCAAAACAGATACTATGATAAAATATAAAAAAAAGAAAAAAAATTCGAGATTATACATATAGGTATATAATATGTATAAATCTATAAATATTATATAAGTTTAAAATAAAACCAACATTAAAAAACCTGTCGCACCGGTTACATGTTTCTGAGCTTCCGTTCAAAATAAAAAAAGATTAATATGACATAATTCTTGGTATAGTTTTGGAAATTTCATTCTACCCTATAAAATTTTATTGACGATAACGAGACGGACAGTAGTAGAATGGTAAGAAATATTTATGGCTCACACCAGTTCACTCGAATTTGTCTGAGAATATTTGGCAGGTAGTTGTACTCATAAAATAATGGTCATTTCCGTTCATAAGTAACGATGGTCCCAGCCCGGACCTGGATTATTCTGGTTTCTAACATCTGGGGATTACCGGCACGCGACAACTTAAGTTGTAAATATCTCTTGCTATTGTACTACTGTGCGTTTCGTTATTGCCAATAAAATTTTATAGGGTACAATGAAATTTCCAAAACTATGCAACATAATTTTTGGACGAATTTGGCGCCCCTTGCCGTTGGCGCCCCTAGGCAAGGCCCTATTCGGCCTATAGCTAGTTTCGGCACTGCTGATTGGCATAGAGTTGGTCACATGGTACTTTGACGCCGTGTTAAAAATTAATTAATTGCAATCAATTATTTAATTGAATTGCTTATTTCAGAAACCCGACATGTCCACAAATGACACATATTTTGTTTTTGCTACAAACTGTTGCTTAGAGTCAAGTCGCACCGTTCGGTACATAAACTCAACCAGTCCATCAATTTACTAGCAAATGACAAGCGTGCGAAATACTCTTTTAATTCAGAAACTCTTCATGTTCAGTTTTCTCCGAGTGAAAATAATGGCACATGTCGGGTTTCTGAAATAAGCGATTCAATTGAGCTTCTGTAAACTGGGTTTAAGACTTATAGAGCTAAATTTTAGGAATTGTTTCCTCATATTAAATACCTTTAAGATATGAAAAAAGGTCAAATATATTTTTACAAAATCCAAGGACTTCAAAAAGTCAAATTTTAGAGTTGGCTTCTCCAACCGTCACAAAAGTATGACATTGTTTAACTGTCAACCATTTGTAAGGTTAACGTTTCCGTTACCAAAAAAAATTTGGCTACATTTTCTGCTAGGACTAAAAATAGTAACTTATAATCCTAGCAGAAAAAATATCTAAATTTTTATCAGAAGAATACAGAATGAAATCTGAAATTATCTATTTATATTAATATATTTAAATGTACATACATTGTGAACATCTGTGAAAAATAAATAAGCTCTCATAACTAGAATTTGGCATAAATCAATCTTCTGCTGTCAAATGTTAAAGACTAACAAATTTCACCCGTATCAACAGACTTTGTGGATTTGTGATATTTTTGAAATTGTAGTGTGGATCCAGGAATAAATGAATAATGTATTTTGAGTTGCGGCTAACCACGAATCACATTCGTCATTCAGAATCACCCTGTATACAGACTGAGCGACGATAATAACGTTACCTATTTATTTATTACTACTCAAAAGTTGATGACGTCATCTGAAAGAATCGTATAAATTTGTACGAAAAAAATGTGGTACACTTGTAGTTCGAAAAGTGATGCCAATAATTTAAGAGGATTTTTATTTATTAAGTAGTCTTACTTATTCGAGACACACAAAGAAAACTTTTATTGCTGAAAGCTGTGAGCATCTTAATTAGCCAATTTTGAAAGGAAAAATAAAACTCTCCATATTTGTAGGTCGGCAACAGTGCTGAAGTAAGTCGAGATAAGGAAAAATTATTTCGCATAGTTTTATTTTTTTCTCGTAAGGTTCACTGTAATTTGTAATATGTTGTGAAAGAGTAATTAGCAAAGATTGTTAATTTTATTATTTACTAGTTTTATCATATTTAAACACCATTCTTTTCTCTTGTGATTTAAAGAAATAGGTATCATGATTTACCCCACCTTCAGCTACATACGATTTTTTTGAGTGAACAATAATTAATTGGTGTACATAAACAGTTATTGCAGTCAAAAACATTAACATCTCCATTTGATGTCAAGTTAAAATCCATAAGAATGGGGGAAGTTTGTTCTATATCATGTCGACACTGGTTGTTTGTTATCATTTTTCAAATCATATCGAATTCCAAAAATATTAAAAATTTAAGCAAAATGAAAAATCTAAAATACAGAAAGTAGTTAAACCATGATGATGGTACCATAGTTTTAGGGTGGTAAATTTGAACCCACTTAAAACTTTTTGTCATACAAAGATAGTTTTCATATAATAGGTACATACTTTTACGTTGGTCATTCTGGTGATGTTTTATGTGAAGTGCAAGTTGGCTAACATTAACCTACCGACGTTGCACCTTTTTGCTTCTTGCTTCTTAGAATTAGGAGGGTGTGATCATGAACAAATGATAGTTGTTCTATTAGTGGGAATGCTCTATCTTGTAATAATAACAATTGTCATGTTGCTATTTCTAAAAAAAGTTTAAACTTTTACTATTTCAAGGAAATAAGATTTTTAATTAACGAATGATTTCAGTTATACAGCGTTTCAAATACGTTGTATAACTGAAGATTTAAGACAAATAGAAGATCATTTGCTAAGAATGTTTATTTTTTTATTTTCAGTCGATTGCCTCTGGTATGTGGACTATACTGGAAACGATTTTACTGGGAATATTCATCTTGTACTGCACGGTGGGTAACTGTTTAATCGATCTGATTGCTTTTAATTAAAGCTCAGAGCTCCTTCACTTAGCAGTTAGATTGTTACTGGCTGACTTGAGGGAAGTATGCCAATAGAGCACCTAATTGCAAAGTTCCTTACTCGGACAGGTGACCTTCTCATCAACATTTCAAACGGTAAACTTAAGTGATCCTGAAAGAAAACGCAGCTCTGGGCCAATATCGACCTATCCACTTAGTCTCCAATCTCATTTCGCACTCGCACGCTTACAAACTTGCCCAATATGGTGCTGTTAGCACGATCCTCTACTTTACTTATTTTATGCATTGAATCGAGATCAGTATTTTGATTAGATTCCTGTTGGAACTCGATGTTTGCTTATGAAATACTGTTGGTTTTAGGTGGTTGTACGCTTTTTCGAACCTTCCGTGGTGCAATGTTTGCTAGAACCGTGGGCCAGAGAGGTCGGATTCATTATTTGCTACGGCGCGATTATCTTGAAACTTTACAGACATCTGATCGAGTTTCGCACAAGAAAAGCACACAGATGGGTCGTCAAAGACACAGACCTGCTCAAGTACCTACTGATAATGGTTATGTCAGTGCTTGCGTATATGGCGGCGTATACTTCAATTACTCTCAACTTTATGCAAGAGAATTACAGCTTGCTCTACGAAGGTGTAACACAAGATGGGGTGCATTATGAAGCTTGTAAATCGTTGTGGTGGGATTACGTTACCGAAACTGGAGAATTAGTTATACTGATATTTGGAATACATCTGAGTTACGCCAGCAGAAATGCAAGGACACAATTTCACGTAAGTTTTTTCTGCATTTATCTGAATACGTAAAAGTATGTGGACCTACCGTCGATTTTTTAAAATATAGCACGCATGTATATGTTATTTAACTGTTCAGATATAACCACGTAAACATATTCTAGTTCTTATTTGCGTTCTTAAAATATAGTTTGTGAAAAAACGATTAGTCTACGAAAATAAGTCCTAACGTGTTTAATATCCGACAAAATTCAGCCAACATTAATTTTTAGCTGCAACCTTTGTTTCTGTTTAGTGTTTACTATACTGTACAAATAAAAGTCCCAAAAAGTAGAGTGTTGTGTGACTGCTATATAAGACGAAAGAAGATACACGATGTGAAAATTACCCGAATTAAAATAAAAATTGATACAAGTTTATTTGGACAGAACTTCCCTCGGGTCTGAAATACAAGTGCAACACACCCCGCTTGTATTGTCTTCGTACACATTCGTGAATACACGGATAAGCGCGTAACAGAACTAGAAGGTATTAGTGTATTAGAACTGGTTCGAATTTCTCGCATACACTTTAGTACAAAAATTAGTCCCGTGTCAAACGGCTTTTTTTAGATTCAGTATCAGTGAGTTACATTGGTCTTTGTCCCAGGGTTCACTGGATATTTAAAATGATCGATGTCGGAAGTGTACTAACCAAACAAATTTTGTATAATAACAATAACCAATAAGTAACTGTTTTTCCTTAAATTTATATTAAACGAAAACTCGTCCACTACTATGCTACTGAGGAATAATAAACCTCCCGCGTCCCACTCCTCTCACCTCCAAGATGTTGCTCACACTTTGATTGTATGCTCTATCTTTTCAAATTCAATATTTTTAATCTACACGATATTGATAACATACATATATATTTGACAACAATCGATACGGTAGTTTTGGAGGTTATTTGTCCAATTAAAATCGACATAGATAGCGGATAGATAGACGGACGTCTGTACCCTAAGGGTCATGAAACGTCGACAAAATATGAAAGTTACCATTCGACCCTATAATAATATTTCTTTAGTTTAGGCTCGCGAAACAAAAACATGAAATTTTACAAAAAAAATTTGAAAAGAAAAAATTACAAACCCGACTGCTCTAATAAGTATTTGCACACGCTTTAAATTTGTTTGTTGTTTATCTGCTCTAAAAATTTGGTAATGCCATCTTATAATTATTTTACTAGATAAATTTTATCTGAAATATGCAAAATATACGTCTATGAGTATACTTATGGTTTATCAGTATATCTATCCATATTTTCAACCATTTGCATCCATTTTTTTTTTAGTACAGTTCAAAATTTTCAACAACATTTAAGTTATTTTACAAACTACTAAATGCATTGCTCTAAAATTTAACACACGCTTTGAGGTCTATTAGTTTGACACATCGTTCACCAAAATTTGTCACCCATCACACCAAAATTTTCATGACGTAACATAATTATAAGCGTTACCATAAAAACAAATACATAAGTAATCGAACTTTTTTGAGTGTGCGTCAAGAAAGAGCTAAGTTCTGTCCACCTTAACTTTTTTTGAAAATCTTAAGTTTATGTAGTAAGATATTTGCAAACAACTAAAATACGTTGCCTCCTTTGTCGTCTATGAAAGTATTCCGGCAGTCCAAATTTTGGGACCATTAATTAGTATGTTAAACACAATGATCAAATGAATGCATGAACTGATATGTAGAAGGAATACGTGTTGAACAGAAATAGTACAAACTCGCTGTATTAATCAGTCTCTTGTTATCTAAAATTTTGAAATTGTATGATATACAAGTACATATCTTCAGAGAAGCTGAGAACCAGGTGTATAAGTTCCAGACTTTTTTGTTTAGTTATAGGCTACTACTTGTAAATACGTATTTTTTTTTAAATTGTAAAGTTTTCGTGGTGATACTTAAGTTATTGCCTAATACTGCCAACCGAATAAATGTATACATATGTAATTCTTAGAGTTGGTAGAGAATCTAGAGATGGAGCATAATCCAAATCGATTAATTGTTAAGATAAAATTGGAAGAAATATATACCTAAATTTCACAAAAGTTACCATATGTTGTTACCCCGCAAGCTCAAATCAACACACGGGCTATGTGTTTCAGCACCTTTAGCATCTTCTTTAACTAAATTAATTTACTACATATTAACTACTTTCTATTTCATACCCTCCATGCTGCTGCCCCCACAATCTCCTTCTGTTTGGGTAAGACCGAAGAGAGCCGAGTTTGAACCGTGTCAGACATAGTATTAGTACACCGATTGGTTACTCAGAAGATTCACAAAACGATGTTTTTAATTTGATGATTTTTGCAACACTTCTTAGAGAGTAGGTCCTTTGCCAAAATCATTTTTATGTGCGCAGGTACTAGCTACACCCACCCACCCTTTATTTTCTCAGAGACTCTCATTTGACAAAATCAAACTTACCCTAGCAACTACTAATCCCGTCCACCCCCTTTATTTTCTTAGAGAATACGTCCTTTGCCAAAATTTATCTTATCTTGGCAAGTGCTAGCCCCGCCCACTCGCCCTTTAATTTCGTAGATAGTAGGTCATTTGCCAAAATCAATCTATCTTGACAAGTACTAGCCCCGCCCACCCGACCGTTATTTTCTTACAAGGTATGCCATTTGGCAAAATCATTCTTATCTTAGCAAGTACTAGCCCCAATCACCCGCCCTTTATTTTCTCAGGGGCTCTAATTTGACAAAATCAGCCTTATCTTAGTAGTAATCCCGTCCACTCGCCCTTTATTTTCTTAGAGAATACGTCCTTTGACAAAATCAGTCTTATCTTAGCAGGTACTAGCTAAATGACACACTTTCCAAGAAAAGAGAGGGTGGGTGGGCGGGGCTAATACCTGCTAAGAGAAGACTGATCTTGGCACATTACACTGGGTAAAGTAAATATTTTATGTTACTATTGAAAGAAATTATTGAAAATCAACTTTCTCTGCCAAACCAAGAAGATTCTACACATCAACCTTAAAAAAAATCGGACATATTTTAAGATGTTTGTGTACCTTTATTTCAGCTCAGACTAAAAAACCTGTAACTTTTTAAATGAAGAAATATATAGTTTAGGAAATAGAACTGGAGATTTATCAAAAACAACGAATTTAGATATTACGAGCATGTTACGGTGGAACACTGAAATCTAATATGGGTAGTATTTCATAAAGATATGTAACATGTAAGAATTTTTGAATGTTTAAAGTAAGCGTGATTTAAAATCATTACTATAAATAAGCAAGTGTTTACCTTAATATATTCAAGTTATTTTACTACTCCTTGCAGAGTACTAATAGAATATACCTAAAATATATTTTATTCAAGATATATAATTAACTATAAAGCATTCTGTAAATTAGAAAAAAAAAACAAATCAACCAACCTCATCAAATATAAATATCAGAATCATAAACCAAAAATAAAAAAATTTGCTTTTTTTGTCACACAATGAGTCATTTGCGACCTACATGACTTAATTAATGATTCAAGTGTTTTAAACATCAAGATTCTATAGATATACTTATCAGTAGCATACGATTGTAACATTTGTATTAAAAAAAATGTCCTCGTGTTGTTAGATGTGAAGAATAAATTCCCACAAATTCTTTTGTGGCAAATCTTATTTCAGTATTAGTTCACTAAATAATGAATTTTACTTTTCCTTATCTTATTTGACAAGACATCGACATTTTACCCCAAAACGACATCGCACAAAAAAGAAGTATAAAGAAAAATAGATCTGTAATGACGATTTTGATGTTTAATTATAGTTTGCTTTATCTATATGGTAGAGAATTATTTACGAAAACTACTCGGACTAAATATTGATATAACATAATAATTGAAAATAAATCTTTAGATCTTCTTCAATGCATGGTTACGATTCCACTAAAAACTATAACACAAACTTCGATCAGTGTTTTTGGAAGGAAAACAATTCCATTCAAATACTCTTTCTTAATTAATAACTTATTTGCTTCATGGATCATATTGTGCGATTTGGCTTTTTGTCTTCATATATGTCGCTGCATATTATGGGATTATTTCTCGAACAGTGGTATTACAGACGCGAACATCGAACTTCTAAAGTGACTTCAGGAAAGTGACAAAACTCTGAATTTAAGAACTTAATGCACACTAAAATTATTCAACGATAATACTAAACATCGATTTTAAGTGTTCAAAGTTATTTTAGTAAGGGCGCGTTGACATACTTGCACGGTTTTCTTTTTTCCTTTCAATTGTAAATAAATGTAAATTTACCCCTACGTCTTAAAACAAAAATTTACAGGAAACAGTTTCATACTATGACCTTTACTTTCTAAACGTGGGAGGGTTTAGTATTGAACCATTCTTCCATTTTAAAAACAGTTACAAATAAACTGTTATTTTTATTTTACAGAGAAATTATTTTTTAACATGAAGGTTGCTTATAATATCATCTGTATTAATTAACATTCTAAAATTAATAGTTTTAAGTTTTACCTCTATAGTTTAGGAACACAACACTGATTACTGTGAGAAAACAAACCTGCTAAATCGATGTGTGTTTATGCTGAATTTATTTTGTATGAAAATTACAAGACCGGAAATTACACATGGATTATGTTTGCTATCTAGATTCACGTCAATCATGTTTTAGTGAACTTGTCATGAAATATAGTAACATAATGTTATCGTAGGATGCAGGGGCGGCTCATGACTTGAAAAATTGATGAGGCACAGCACAAAACGCTCTAAAATATAAATAAATCAAGATTACTTAAATATTTTCTATTTAGTCAAATAAACAAATTTGTAAACTCATTTAACTGTCCACAAAGAACCAAGAAGGTGTAAGGAGGTCTTGCAAGGAAAGGATGAGAATGACAGGACAAAAGGAAAGGGAAGCGTGGTCAGAAAAAACTAATATAACTTTGTAAGGATCCAATTCGAATTTTTAAATTTCAAACGAATTCCGCGCGCACAAGAAACG